GATGAGAAAGAAGGGTGATACTTGTCTTAAAGACACAGAGGTGTACCGCCTCAGAAAACTGGTGCAGAAGGTAAAGACACTAATTACTGATGAAGCAAAAAAGTAAAGGGCAGGAAACAGTATGTTCTGCATATTTTTCCATTCTGTTCAGTGTGTGTTTCATTATGAGTAGTTTCAAAATTTCATCTTTAAATCTTAACGGAGCAAGAGATGTTAAAAAGAGAACTATGTATTATGAACTTTTAAAAACTAAGTGCATTGATATTGCTTTTGCTCAAGAAACTCACAGTAATAATGATAATGAAGTTGAGTGGAAGAGAGAATGGGATGGAAATATCTTTTTGAGTCATAAGAGCAGTTTGAGTGCAGGCGTGGCAATTCTTTTCTCAAAGAACTTTGTGCCGGTGTCTGTAGACTCAGAGGAGGTCGTTCAGGGCAGGTTACTGAAAGTGACTGCCAGATATGAAAAATCCACGCTCACTTTGTTAAATGTGTACACTCCAGTAAATCCAACTGAAAGATGTCTTTTTCTTGACAAATTAGCCAGCACCCTTTCAGGATGTGCTTCAACTGATTTTTTGATATTAGGAGGAGACTTTAATTGCACTGTTGATGATTTGGACAGGAATCATATGGAACCTAATGCTCAGTCAAGGAAGATTTTGAAACGTATTATTGAAACGTATGAACTGACGGATGTGTGGCGCTCCAAACATGGGAACAATAGACAGTATTCATGGGCACATGCTAGAGATAATTACATCTCTTTAGCCAGGTTAGACAGATTTTATTGCTTTGAACACCAATTACAAATATTCAAATCTTGTTTCTTGTGTCCAGTGGGTTTTTCAGATCACTGTTTGTTAATCGGAAATGTTTTTATAAATGGAGTCAAACCAAAAAGTGCATATTGGCATTTTAATACGGTTTTAACAAATGACGGTCACTTTAGAAAATGTTTCAATTTTTTTGGGAAAAGTGGCAGTCTAGGAAATCTCAGTTTACATCTTTACAGCAATGGTGGGATATTGGTAAAATACAAATTCAGCAGTTTTGTAATCAGTACAATTTTAATGTCACAAGAGAGGTCACACAATCTATAAAACATCTAGAGACTGATATTGTGGAACTCCAGACTTTAAGTGGATCCACAGGAGATGGAGGCCACATTAAGGCACTCAAATCCAAAAAAGCTGCTTTGGCAGATCTGCTGGGGATAAGAGCACAGGGGGCGTTAGTCCGATCACGTTTTCAAAATATCTCTGAAATGGATGCTCCATCCAAGTTTTTCTTCAATCTAGAAAAGAAAAATGGTCAGAATCGACTCATCCACTGTATCAGATCTGCTGATGGAAGAGATCTCACTGACTCAGCTGAAATCAGGAAAAGAGCTGTGGACTTCTTCTCAAACCTCTACAACAGTGAGTACAGAGAGAACGTGCTGATGTCAGAGCAGTTTTTGTCTGACTTACCAAAGTTATCAGAAGGGGATAATGCAGACTGTCACGCCCACTCACACTGCAAGAGCTGCAGGAGGCGCTGATGAGTATGGAAAACGGCAAAGCTCCAGGAATAGATGGTCTCCCTGTAGACTTTTACAAATGTTTTTGGTCTACTTTGGGAGACGATTTGTTAGAGGTCATAAATGACAGTGTGTCTGGAGGGAAACTACCTGTGAGCTGTCGAAGAGCGGTCCTCACTCTCCTGCCTAAAAAAGGTGACCTTTGTGAAATAAGAACTGGAGGCCAGTAAGTCTGCTTTGTGCAGATTATAAAATCTTTTCCAAAGTGTTGGCCAATAGATTAAAAAAGTGATGGAGCAAGTAATACATGTTGATCAGTCATACTGCATCCCTGGCAGATCAATTAGGGACAATATATCCCTCATTAGAGATTATTTGGAAGTCTCTAGCTCGTTAGATGTTAAGTTTGGTCTGATTTCTCTTGACCAAGAGAAGGCATTTGATCGGGTGGAGCATAAGTATTTGTGGAACACCTTTGAGGCTTTTGGTTTCTCCCCCAGTTTCATTGCCTTGATGAAAACTCTGTATTGTGACATTGAAAGTGTATTGAAGGTTAATGGTGGTTTAAGCGCTCCTTTTAATATCAATAGAGGGATTCGGCAGGGCTGTGCAGTGTCTGGCATGCTTTATTCTATAGCCATTGAACCCATGTTGTGTCAGATAAGAAAACAGTTAACAGGGTTTAAATTAAAGGAGAATCTTATACCCATGCATCTGTCAGCATATGCAGATGACATCATGGTTGCTGTAACAGATAATAGTGATGTCAAAAAGCTTATTCACATCACAGAGTGCTTTGGGGAAATTTCCTCCTCGAAGGTAAACTGGGGTAAAAGTACAGCCTTGTTAGTAGGAAAATGGCGAGGGAATGAACCAAGGTTACCTGATGGGTTTAAATGGGTGACGCATGGCATCAAGTATCTAGGTGTTTTTTTAGGATGTCAGTCTGAGGTTCAGAAAAACTGGGAGGGTGTGATT